TTAGGCAATATAGAAATCCTGGCCAGGACGCGTCCTGGGAAAATGGCACGTATGGTCACCCTAGTTTTAGGTCTGCCTGAATGCATGCCATACACATGCAAATAGAGTAATTTACAGGTGCATCTCAATAAATTAGAATGCCGTGGAAAAGTTAATGTTTTTTTTATTGGTCTTATGAAGTATTCTAATTTGTTGAGATAGTGAATTGGTGGGTTTTTGTTAAATGTGAGCCAAAATCATCACAATTAAAAGAACCAAAGACTTAAACTGCTTCAGTCTGTGTGCATTGAATTTATTTAATACACGAGTTTCACAATTTGAGTTGAATTACTGAAATAAATGAACTTTTCCACGACATTCTAATTTATTGAGATGCACCTGTATACAGTCGAAGTAAACCACAATCTGGATAAAAATTTGTACACTGTAAACGAGTAATTTTTTCTAGTGGTTCACAACTGACTTCATATCTGGACCCAGAATTTATAGTGGACATCCAGCAGCGACTCAAAATCACACCTAATACTGTATTCATTAGTCCACATAGAAATGTTTGTCTTTGTTACTGTTCATCTAACTGTTACAGCATAACAGGTTTTGTTTGACTTTATGATAATTGCACAATTAAATAATGATTGCATATTTTTCTTTTTGTTGTTAAAAGAAAGGTTATAAACTGATGTCTTATTTTTAGCCCTCCTTGGGGAGTTCAAGCCCAGGTAAGACGATTACCAGTTTTCCTATCATGGTAAAACATATCAATATACATATTCATGGTTTAATGCCATTTCTCTTTCTCATAAAGAGTTTCGTTTGATTTTGACTATGTTGATTTTGCCCCGTCAACAGAGATGCTGTTGCCTGATTTTGATGTTGATCAAACACCTGAAGACGAGGAGGTTCCCGAGGGAGAAACTAATTTTGGCAGTGAGATTGAAGAACTTGCAAAGGTTTGATCTTATCCTGATTCTCAACATGTTTCACCTGATATTTTGTTTTGCATTACCTGTTTATGGTCCGGTCTTCAGAGGAGAGGTCAGCAGGCCATTGAAGCTATTGAAGCCAAAGTATCAAAGGGTTTCTTTTCTTCCTCCACCAAAGTTTCTCATGTCTGAAACAGAAGACGGTCATTTTCATAAGAACTTAAACAATTTGAAATTAAATAAATTAGCGTTGTTTAGCAGGTCATTTGTCAAATATGTCTTAGCTTGTGATTGCCATAAAAAAGTCTTTACAGTAGCAATTCCTAAATTGCTGTTAATCAGGATCTCAACAAAGTTAATATTCAAATTTTAACTTAAGCTTTTGAGTTAAGAAACTGTTGAGTTTAACTAATTTACTAATTTAATTAATAATATTCAAGTGAGTCTACTTCAATATACATTTTTTCAGTCCTGTGCAATTTAATAGTAAAATAATTAAAAGTAGGAAAAATTTTATATTATATAATATTTATATTGTATAATATATATAATATTTGTACTTTAAAAAATTCACACGACAGGGCCGTTAAATCAGAGTTGCCAACTTAGTGACTTTGTCGCTAGATTTAGCAACTTTTCAGACCCCTTTAGTGACTTCTTTCCAAAAAAGCGCCTAGCGACAAATCCAGCGACTTCTTGGACAAACCTTATTTAGTTTCTGAGACTCGCTGGTACTGCCGCATGAGCACAAGGTCTTGCTTTCCCATCGCGCACACACCTCTCTCTGTGTCTGATCTGTTCAGCGAGCGGCTGAGAGGAGCAGCGCTTTCAGTTAAAAAATATATTCTGTCGCTTCTAACTATATTATGTGTAAATATAGCCGAAATCTCAGCAAATCCATTGTCTTTTTCTTATGTGTATTTGATTTCATTAGACGACGTCCCAGGACTTTTGTGCAGATTAACATCTAAGGGAGAGCTGGGCCGTGTTTCCCTTTCGAGCTTTCACGAGATATCGCGGAGGTTTCTCCGCTATGGGAATTCCTTCCCTTCCAACCTTTCCTGAAGTCCTATTGGCTCACGCCAGTCCAATTGTCTGGCCAATTGTCACGAAGTATGCATATAGCATGCAAATACTAATGAGCTCGAGAGGCAGTAGGCCTATAAAATGCGGTGCACGCGACAATTACGTCAGAATCTGATACTGAACGCCGCTTAGCTGGTCGAGCAGCAAACACGGCGACCTCCGTGTTGTCAGGTTCCCTTCTCTCAGGGAACCAAGATTACGATAGTAACCGGAGACGTTCATTCAATATTTCATATTCGTCCCGTTGTCTGACAACAGAAACGGAAAAATACATCAGTGAAAACAGTTTTATTGAGAATTTGGCTGCATTAAATTACAATTTGTGAGCACAGAGGCAAACAAATGTAAAAGGCATATATGACGCAATGACGTCATGAATATGCTAATTAGTGTATGACGTCAACTAGCGACATTTAGCGACTTTTCAAGCAGGCTTTAGCTACTTTCAGTTGAAAGAAGTTGGCAACACTGCGTTAAATATGTACTAATGAAGAAAAAAAGTGACTAGTTACAGCATATATATATATATATATATATATATATATATATATAGGGCTGGGTGATTTGGCAAAAAAATTAAATCTCAATTTTTTCAGAAAGTTTGACCTCGATTTTGTACAATTTTTAACAAGTCAACTTAAAAATGTAACTACAACATGGTTCAAATATCTTTTTCTTTATTAACCCTCGAGTTAAAAAAAGTTCTATTCCAAGTGCACCACACATGAAGTTGTCAACGTGATGTGAATGTTAAACAAATCACTATAATTCAAATTCAAAATGACTGACTTTATACATAGAATCCAAAAATAGTACATTTGTAAACTGCACACCTGTAAATATATCTGTACATCCATTTAAACAATTACATTTCTCTTTATTTCTACTTCTATATATAGTGCATTATTTAATTTTCTGTTTTTCTTATATTAATGATCAGTGATCATATCATTTACAAAAAGTGCTTTCGTAGAAAGGGACCTGATATTCAATAAGCCAAGCTTTATCATTTGTTTATCCGTATTGCATCTGTTTTTTATTTGTTGAACATGAATTAAATTGTTACAAAAAACGTCCAAACCAAATTAATAGTATTTTCTAGCACAATCTCTATAGTGTGATATCTAGGTGAAATAGTCTCTGTGCTGATAATTAACTGATTTCTGTGACATGAGGCGGCTAGCAGACGGTCGGTTCTAGAGAGAAGAGCGGCACCACCCCAGGAGGGATGAAGACCATCTCTTTTCAACAGGTCAGGTCTGCCCCAAAAACTCATCCAATTATCTATGAAACCTATGTTATTCTGTTATTCTATGTAAACATGGATGCGTTTGACTGTTGCGCTCGTGTCTCTTGTAGCATCTCATACATTAAAACGGCATTTTAAAAATGCGGCGCTCAAGTTAAGAGAAGTTCAACTCCCATCTTCTTGCATGTTTTTCCTATTACTCTGCACGCGTCGCATCTTTATCAACACAAAAGCACATTCTGTGTGAATGGCGCCTTGCGATATGAGCGCGCCACACGTGAGCGGTTAATCACGTGCGGCGACATGCGGTTGGATCGTTCTTTTCTCTTTACTGTTTTCACCGGCATATTGTCAAAGTGTCTAGTTCTGACGTTTGGTAATTTCTATTTAAAATCGCGATTCATAGATTAAAAAAATAAATAAAATCGTGGCAAAACATTAAATTCAAATGAATCGATAAAATCAGAAAAATCGTACAGCCCTATATATATGTATATACATATATATTAGTGTCACGGTACCAAAATTTCTGTATTCGGTACAAAAGCAAAACACACAAACATGCTAATTAAAAAACACATTATTTTTATTAATAAAGTCACACAAAAATAAAATGTACAAAAATCAATGCCATTCTTTATACTTAATTAAAATTGTTTCAAGCTTTTCCGCAAGTAATAAAAGTATGAAAAAAAGTAAACCAGTTTCACCCAAAAGTTTCATATTTCTGCTGCCACTGAAAAACAACTGTAAACTGTTGTCTGTTTTAGGGTTTGCTCGTGCGTTTCATGATCTTCCTTAACCTGCAGCTGTAAAAGGAAAACATAATATACTCAAGTAAAGTCTTAGATCAACATTAGATCATTGACAACAGCTAAAATATAACTTTTCAGTAAATAACAAACCTCAACGTTTATAATAAATGTAGATAAGATTACATATATTTTAAGTCAAGACTATATCGAATAGATGGAAACTGTAGTATTAAAAACAATTTACAATAAAATTAAATTTGTTAGATAACATGACCTATCAATAAACAATAGTGATACAGCAATTATTCTTCTTAGGGTTAATTTCAAAATTTACTAATACATAAAATCAGTTCCATCTGTTAAAATTATTTAATGCACAATGAACAAACATGAATGATCAAGTGTTTGTATTAAATAACATTCAAAAACATTAATGTTGTAAAAATATATTGTTCACTCACTGTAAGTTGATGTTAGAAGGTCTTTACAGGAGATAAAATTTGACTGCACTTTCATTTAATCCAAACTGTGTACATATTTAGTTAACTATACCTGCTAGAGTTATCCAGCCAAGAATAACAACTAACCAACTTACAGGGCTCCAGGCTGCGACTCATTTTGCGACCATTTTTCCTGCCTGTGCAACTAAATTTTGTGCGCGGTCGCACTGGCGCGATCACCGCGTTGTTCAATTCATAAGCGCTGCCATTTCTGTTGCATATGATAAACATCAAACGGCAAACAAAACTGAAAAGTTTCTCGTTTGAACTGCGCAGTGCTTCGAGTGTAGAGCATGCATTGATTAATCCCATGTTGTAGCGCAAATAAATAAATAAAAATAGTGACCAAATCATGTGCTTGTGCGACCAACTGAGAAGGTTAGTTGCAAAAGAGTGACCAGTGGGAAGAATGAGTCTGGAGCCCTGAACTTAGCTAAAAAAAAAAAAAA